TTCACGGTCTTCCTGCAGAGGTGTTGCAAGGAGGACATTATGCAAGGTAGGGGTCTTAAAAGTTCCAGAGGGATTTCTCCCCCCAGTGTAGATGTAGTAGGCACTCCTTGAGTTCCCAATGGACAGGGCGCTTCTGGGCGGGCATGTAGTGATGGACGAGCTTCAGCACGCAGTCGAAACGAGGCACGGACTGCACGCTCTTGGAGTCCGTCTGCAGGAAAAAGGACTTGCTGTCGCACTGAACCCGCAAGTTCTTGGTGCCCGACTCGGTCTTAACGCTAAGCGTGAAGAAGTGCCGGTTGTCCGAACTGTCCCTGACCAGAAAGGTCCCGCTAGTCTCCGAGCTCAACAGGTGGTTGGCCTCTTTTCCACTGATGGACCCCCAGTAGAAGCCGCTCTCCTGGAGCATTCGGATGGCGTGTTGCACCATCTGGTATTGCAGCCTTGAGCTGAAGGTTTTGTAACGGTGAGTCGGCAGCCGCATGCTTGCGTCAAAAAGGCTGCTGCTCATTGCGGAGTCAAACTTGCTGTGGGTTACCATGGCGTGCTGGAAGCAGGAGCCTGTGGAGAAAGACTTCGATGAGTACCACAGAAAACACACGTTCAATGAGACAATGGGGTAGGGGTTTGAAGCCAGTTTTCGAACAAAGACATTTTAACTGTTCTATCACTGCAGATTGAAGTACATGAGGTAAAGATACCTAGAACTTAGTCAAGTACATTATTATTGGTTGACAAAATGTAAAAAATAATTAGCTAATAGGCTCTTACTCCTTATATTGGCTGAACATAAGTGTCGGTAAAACTTTATTTTGCAGTGTACTTGTTACATACTGTAGTAATAACTATAAATTGTGTATAATTACGTGCAACTAACTCTAAACCTAACCCTATAGTAAGTACATGCAGTTAATTATTATTACTATGTATTTTAGTCTGTAAGACGAACACCTTAAAATAAAGGTTTACACTTTACACTATAAGTATTCATTCAAGTACTGAGTAATATTACAAACTACATGTATAGGGTTTAGTTTATGTTTTTTTGAATGTAATAATGCACAACTTATAGTTATTAGCCTACATGCAACATAGCAATCACAAGATAAAATGAAGTGCGACAAATAAAGTGTAATTGTGTATTGTATGTAGGTATTAAGGAGTAAGAAGTATTAAGTTAAGCCAATAAAAAGATGGAGCTGGCACTCTGATTAGTTTACCAAGAATATATTCTGAAAACCTCTCTTACCTTTGAGTCTCTTTAGATAGATGAGAACTGTAATATCCACAGTAGTAGGCTACTAGTCTCCTCAGCTTGTGTCTCCTTAAGAGAAGTTAGTGTTTCTCTTCGCTGGTCGTGCTGAACTTCTGTGTTATTTGTAGTGCCTCCTCGTCGTCATGTTCTAGTTTGGCTCCGCCCAGGGTTCTTCCAGTAAGGGTAGGTTGTCAGTAATACTATTCCTGGTACTTCACATGCTCTCCCCTCCCCCTCTCTCCCTCTCTCTCTTTCTCTCTCTTTCTCTCCTCGTCCAGATCTGCCGTCTTACTGTAAACGTATTCCCTGACACAACACCTCCCCATTGTTGATGTACAGAGACCGTTTCCTAGTAACAGTGATATTTCGAATTTCGAATTCTACACCAGTCCTTGGGCACAAATTCCCGCCATGTGTGCATTCTCGCGTGTTAAAGAAAATGTTTACATGATATAGTTTACAAAGTGTATGGTATTTAACACATTTGAGAACAACAACATACTAACACGACTCGTGAGCTCTCTCTCTCTCTCTCTGACACACAAACACGATAATCTGACTGAATATCTGTCCACAAGAGGACGCTAATGTTGTCGGCTTAATTTACTAATAAAAGATAAACATATAGCACAAAGCATACGTTTTGTTTTGTCTAGAAACGTTAATTAGCTACTTATAATAAAATTGTGCAAAGCATGTATAATAATCATGTTTGTAGCCTACATAAACATGTATTTACATGATAAATAGGCTTTCTGAAAGACTATAAAATACATTTTAAAAAATACAATAAATATATAAACCTTAGTTATAGGTAATGACACAATTAAAAAAAATGAAAAAAAAATGCAATTAAAAAATCAGGAAATTCCAATTTCTGAGGGAAAAAAATCAATTGTAGCCTACTTATCATTCAAATTTATGGTAACACTTAAAGGTTCATTACTTAACATTAATTAACTAACATGGACTAACATTGGGCAATACATTTGTTACTGTATTTATTGATATGTTAGTTAATAATACAGATGTTTATTGTTTGTTCATGTTAGTTCACAGTGCATTAACTAATGTTAACAAATATGACCTTTGATTTTACTAATGTATTAGTACATGTTAAAATTAATATTAACTAAGGTTAATAAATGCTTTAGAAGTATTGTTCATTCCTAGTTCCTGTTAGGTTAACTAAGACAGTTAACTAATGTTAAATAACAAACTGTCTTGTAAAGTTTTACCAAATCTATTTGAACACTTTCCAAACCATTCACCTATATTAAAAGACATAAGTACTCATTATTAAAAAAAAACAAAAAAAAACAAATCATCAAATCACCTTGACTAATCTGGTTTCACATAAACAATACAGTCAACAGCATGGGAGCGGTGAAGCTCATTTACTGAGAATGCTGAACCTCCTCAGGCAGAAACACAAGCTAAAATTACCATGAAAATATGGGCAGTCTGGCCGAGAAAAAGGAACAGAAAGACACGCGTCTTATTAGAAACTGGACAAAATATATCATAGTGTATAAGAGGCTACTACTGGTCGGTTTTCCATTCGTCCTCACAGGGAAAACTGCACTGGACTTTCCAGAGCGTTTTCAAGTACAGTTTTTCATAGAAAGGAATTAAAACACAACTGATGTCACAGTTCTTATTTAAAGTGAATTAATACAACAGAAAAACAGTATCAGTATCATCATCGTTATCATCTTCAGCGATCAAGAAGATTTCCTGGTGTCAGTTTTCCTGCTAACACAGAACCAGACTTATGCGGGAACAGTATGGTAATAAGAAGTCAGTGCACTTGCCAGATAGCATTTGCTCAGAGCAAATATGTAATGTTGATAATTGGTATATGAGATCCAGGAAGGGTTTTATGATATTTAAACAAAGCTAGTTTACCAGAGGACCGCTTATCAAGCTCATCTCGTAAAAGCACTCGGACTATTGCAGAGTAAAGGAGGGATGTGGGTCAGGGAAGATAAGAGTTGAGTAAAAGGTTGGATTTTTGCCGGATTGGACAAGATGACGTTACTGTAAGACATTTCACAGTTTTAGTGAAGAAATGAGTTGGTGGTAATTCGCGTGAATGCAGAAATGTCCTCGAAATGTCCAGTATTTTCTGTTCTGCTTCCAGCTCTCGTTCTCTCTGACATTGTAAAGGGAAGGTGATATCATTTATTACACATATTACACAAATAGCACGTACACGTTCACATAAAAATAGCCATTTTCCAAGAAACACATACAGTAAGTGCATATATACAGGAAGAAAAAGGTGATTCAAGGAAGTATTTCCACGTATATCACACTTTGGTAAAGCTTTATTATTTTTATGTATTTATAAGTATTATTTCCGGATGTATTTGTTGTTTTGATTAATATGCTAATATGTTTGAAATGACACTTTGCAGTTGGTTATGGCAAAACAAATATTTCGAACACATACATTTGATTACCACAATCATTTACTTCTGTTCCAAATAAGAAGAGAAAACAAATTATACTGTAAAAATTAATCCGTAATTTTTACGGAGAAAAAAAACGGCAGCTGTGGTTGCCAGAACTTCACCGTTAAAAATACGGTAGGAACGTTAATGGTTTTACAGACTTAACTTAAAATTTACAGCAATAAATCGTGTCTTATTTTCTGATGAAATGTTGATTTAGCAACCTTTTGATAAATTGATATCTGTTTTGTACCATTGTAATACACTGACAACCAACAATCATCACAGCAATGATGAGAATTACATGAGCGATCAAAGCTCATCAAAAGTAGACTTCCATTAGAAGATTAATACTTATATAAAGAAGCTGCACAGTATCATTCACACAAACATTAATTACCATCAAGGTAACGCACATGAAATTTAAAAAAAAAGCAAAAATAAAAAAAATTAACTTAATTAAATGTAACGTGAAACCCTAATCTACATAATTGATTAGAAAAAAAAATAAACAAAAAAAAAAAACTACTAGTAACCATAGTTATTTCAATAAAAATACATAAAATGTGAAGTGTAACACAGAGAATTGTGGGAATGTCAATTCACGTTTTTTTCACTGTAAATTATACAATGAGTTGTTCTTTTTCACTTTCAAAAACTGTAAATTTAACGGCATTTTACAGTAAAATCGTATCACAGTTATTAACCGTATATAGTACGGAAAGTTTCTGTTAACCAATTAACAGTTTTGCACTGTAGCATTTTTACAGCGTCTTTTACCGTTAAAATCATGATTATTTTTTACAATGTATGCCGTTTTAACCGTTAAAAAGTGGAATTGATTATTTTATCCAACATATTGGAAACATATTACTCATACTATTATCCAAAATGTAAATGACTGAATTTGTGTTTCATTAAAACGTTTTAGCTAAAGTCTCCCTCTTAAGTCACACTGTACCTTTAAGAAAATCATGCAATTAACATTTTATTCATTCACAGTGTGCAGGAAAACTTAATAATTTGAATATGGAAGGATTGCTGTTTTTGCAGATCCATAATTATATGACATCATTTACAGTTTAGTATGTCATTTTAATCAAATAAAGTCGCTTATTTCCTTGTTTCAGTGTAGAACTGCTCTCTGCATGCAAATTAAAATATACAGCAAACGTTGTTTCCTCAACGCATTGGGAACACTGTTCTATCGATGATATTATTAGAATCCAGATAGGTCAAATATTTTGCAAGCGAACTTGATAAGCATGTTGGCTTGTGTGTGATACGATCTGAGGTTTCCTGTGCCATCTGTGTTTCATCATGATTCATGTGCGGGGAAAACCTGGTAGTGAGATCGTGAGCCGCTTATTAAAAGAAACCTGTCGGATTCACTGAAGCCATGTGATGTCTGCTGATACTACAATGCTTTCAGACAAGGTATTGTTGTGTTAAACAAACATACAGACAAAAAAAGCTTGTGGCAGAAGCTCATTGGCATAATGGGATGGAAAAGAAAACACGCCTACATGAGAAGCTCCTAATTTTACTAATTATTTGTACATGATAATGCTTGTCTTTACAGTAAGGAAGTGTCCTGACAGCATGTTGGGAATCAGTTTTCCTCATTTCCTTTTGGAAAATAGGAAACCGTTTAAAGTTACTGTAAAGAAAGAACCGTAAAAAGAAAATATTTGTTTAGCAAATGATTTCCACCCCCCCCCTCCCTGAATATATATCAGCAATATAACATTAAATATAGCTGCGAGCAGCGATGGCGGGCCCAAGCCGGTGGCACCGCAACCCCGGTTCCTTTAGTTACCTAAAGGCACCCGGGTAGCGGTGCCGAAGGCTTTGGCCCTTTTATGATTAAATGTTAAAACGGCTTGCCATACTCTGTCATTTCGACTAGTCACAATTATGTTACAGATGTCTTAAATGATAATACAAACTATCCAAAATGTAATTACGAATAGACAGAAAGACGTTGTTGATATCTACAATGTTAATTCCGGACAGGCAAACTTAGCTTTTAAATGTTAAAAGGGCTTGCCATACAGGGACGTAGGCTCAGAGAGAGGCTCACCATATTCAAACCAAAATATCTGACTTCCTCTTGGTCCGAGCTAATGACTATGTATTAGAAAGTTGTCCGGCTTGAGGAGTACAATGTATATACCGATTTTTGTAACTGTAGATAAAACTAACAACCCCACTTTTGTCAAAAGGTGGCGCTATTTAGTCCTTGCACATTGCCCGTTTCTGAAACTTTGCACGTCTACTGGCTAATAAATGTGATGTATCTGTTGAGTTTCAAGCAATTTCAATTTCAATTTGACTGTTGAAAAGAAGTGCGCCGATTAGATACTCAGGATCGGTATCGGCTCTGACACTGCCATCTTTGACGAGGCTGATTCAAATTCTATATTGTGCATATACTATTCTGTTAGGCACAAAGGCACAAAAACTTTCTAAAGTACCATAAAGTTTTTGTGTACTGTATTATTAGTGTTCTGAAGCTATTATGTGATATAGAAATTAATATTTAAGTCATTAAATTCAAGAACACAAACTTTTCCCTCTCTGCGCCTGTCAGTCATTCTCCATTCAGCATTCAAACAGCACGTCACATTCGGTTACAGTCAATGATGAAACGATCTTCAATGATTCA